TTTTTTTATCATGAGCACAGCCATCTGCAATTATATGTTAAAGTATCCATTAGTTATACTTTTATTTGGTTAGTAAATGCCCATATCCTGGAATGATAGCATACCATAAACCATTTGCATGAAGAGTATATAAGTGCAGGAAACACTTGTACAGGTACTGTTCTTTAAGGTAAAAGTAAATTGATAAAATGGCAAAGTAGCCTACCACAACTTGGAACAGCAAAACCTGTACTGTTCCGCCGAAATTTAATCTGAAGAACTACAACAGTGTCCAGAGAGTGTGGATTCAGAAGAGCAAGCACGTGGAATGTATTCCATAACAGCCAATTAGTGCAAGCTCGTCTACCACTTTGAAAATTAAGAACCTTAATTCAAGTGAAAAATTAATTTTGGAACCTGCATGGTGGAAAACAAGCGTGGGGGTACAGTTACATTAATGGTGATCAAAAACATCTCATGATTATACAGTATAATTTTGGGTTGAGCCCACACTTCCTGCTGTTGTGCGTGTCTTTTCTGTTTGTTTTGTAAAGGCCTCTTATTCATGTTTCTTCTTTTATTATCACATGCCATGGTAACCAGAGCCCAGAGTTAATCAAATCCATTTACTAAATCTGTCTGCCAGGTCCAAATTAAAAACATGTCACTTGAGTCCTGTCTTACCAAGGACTTCTGGTCTCTTTGAAATCAAAAGGCACCACTAGGTTTGACAGCTTTAGGTAGGTCAAATGTGCCTTCTACAGTATAATGATCTGTTCAGCTGAGAAAACTTGAGAATGCTTCCTAAAATGTGTAAGGCACTCTGGTAGAAGAAATACAATATATCCCTCCCTTCATTTACAAACTCACTCTTAAGAAAAGGCTACAGAATAGGTGAAATGTAAATGTATTTTGACAATGTAATGTTATTTCAAATTTCCAGGCACGTGCTATGTTCAATATAATAATGCATGTAATGTTTTTGGTACAATACATGCAGGAAACAAAATTATTTTCCCACCATTCTAAACCTCTAATAAAATTAATATTAGGCATCTTCTTTTGTTCAATCATTTCTTCCCACAGAAACAATGTGACACAAAATTAGCAAACACTTAACTGTGGTAAATGAATTCACTGCACTCACAGTGCATCTAAGTAGCATCTGAGTATTAAAGCTGCTGTACTTCAGTCGCAGGGACTGAAATGATTTTATATTGCAGGATGTGAGACTAGCTAAACAGGTGTCCATTTTAAAACATTGAAAAAAAGGTGCTACCAGCTGTTAACAACTTAAAAATGTGAAGCTTGATTTGTATATATTCCCTGGCTTCTCACTATGAGGGGCTTGATGCTGAGTCTAATGTCAGCATAATTTATCATCATATGCTAGGAGACCTGTTACATTAGTAAGCAACTTAAACGCCTTTGAAATGACTCTCACTTCCTAGTGTGACTGAAAACTTTTGGTAGTACTGTAGTGCTGTAAGATTCCAGGTAACCTTATCCATGAAACGTTCCTCTTAGACTGCATTAGTCTTCCACTGCATGCGTTTTCAAACCCCAAACCTTACCTTTATGAGATGGGATTATGACTCTAGTAAAGTGTTTTCAATTCAATTACTGTCTAGTGCAGTGTAAGTGCAGTGCAGTGTACAGTAAGTCAATGCTGCATTAGCTTGACAACATTTAGAAGTCTGAACGTTTATAGTTCTGTGTTTGAGCTTTTTTTACTGTATATTCTCCACAGTGCTTTCACGTCTCTGTTGTGATGTGATTTTATGACGTTCTTTGAGATGGTGCTCACCACAAGCAATAAATCACGAGGACGCCAACTGCTTTTTTTTCCTCTTACACCCTGGGCGACGCTGCACGATCAGCCATATTCGTGCTGCACAGGAAAACGAAAATCATAAAATTCAACTTTTTGCTCCAAAAACCCCCCAGGGAAAAGTGGTTGCGCAGAATCAGGATTGAGGAAACACCCAGCCATGTTTTGCCGCCGCGGAATTACGAGCCTCAAAGGGGTTTCTGATCCTAAAAAAAAAACACCAAACAATTCAAGCTAATCATCAATAAACTGACGTGGAGGGCGAACCAACATTTCACATTTTACCACTGCGAGTCAGTATTGCTCTTCTGCAGCCTGCAAAATACTGGCTGGAAAATTCACTTTGTTATCAAGACAGTCTCTTAAAGGGGAAGAAAAACTTGGGTTTCTTCCGCTCAGCCTTGAATGCAGTCTATTATCGCCACATTAATTTTCAATATCACTGATGCGGCATGCAAGTATTAAGTAAGCACATTTCAGGAGCTGCGAACTACACAGCTGTGAAGGCCTCCCACACACCACGTACATTAGTAAAAGCTTACCTAGAGCTAATATGGGCACCTGCTACAGTTTACACCTTCACTCCCTGACCTGCATTTAAAGGAAATGGGTAAAAAGGTCTTCCCATACTGAAACTTATTCGCGCTGACCAGTGTCCTATGCATGAAGTGGAGTTCATCCCTAGCGACGGCTAATCCGTATGACTCAGACATTTGTAGCTAATATTTATTTCGTGGGGAGGTTGAAAAGTACAAATCACCGCAAAAACAGAACGTGTATCACAGCAGCACTTAAAGCACGGCTGTCACGGTCTAATCTACAGTACATGCCTATATTTTCCTAATCTACTTATATTGTTTTGATATTGTTTCTTGAACTAGCCTTTGGCTTTTTTTTTTGTTTACTAGAGCTTCGTCATCACCGTCATCTTTTTCCACCCGATTTCCAAAAATGACCGCTCCTCCCTTTCTCTAGAAAGAATATCTGTGCCCGCACTTCTTGTTCACCAGTCTACATACAGCCTTTTATTTAAAATCGAATGATAATAAGAAACAAGAATAACAGTGATACCATCGGCGTCTCCAAGACATTATCAGAAGTGCAATGTACTGTAGGCATATGGAATACTAATAAAAAAAAATCAGCAACTGCATATATCTGAGAAACATATCTTCCATATAAATATATATATTTTAAACAAGAATTATCTGGAATTTAAATGACATTCGGTATTAATACAAAAATGATAGTCGCCCATACATTGTTACTCATTCTACTTTAGTTTGTGTTGTTTTCATTTTCTCGTGACGCAACATCCCACCTGAAGCTCACTGCAGGACCCCCAATAAAACCAACTTCAATTTTCTACAAGCATATGCTAAATACCACCCTCATCGGTGAGCATGTTACTTTTTGTAGTTACTGCATTCTTGTTTATTTTTTCTCCTGGCTTAAACTCTTCATGCGGTATTTATTTTCTTTTTTCCCCGTGTTTTTTTTGCTTACCGTATCTATTGGTTGACATCCCTAGCTGGTAGCAGACAGTCATTAAGCACAGGACACTCCACAGACGCGGGTGCTCCATGTTTCCCAGTGGTAAATGCTTGAAGGAGCAGCTTCAATTTCTTGTTAAACCATCATTTTTTGGCTGTAAGCTACGCGGCGGTACTGGCAAGAAATCCCAACTAACTGCGCTATCAAATAGAGAGACAGACTGAAAACCCGGGGCTTGATGACGTGGATCGGGAACTGAAATCTGGTACTCATTTGCCCTTATTTTTCGCAGCTGATGGAGACCCGCAATGACGTCAGAGATCTGTGGAAGAGGATCTTCACGTTGGGGAGGGGAGGCAGGTCGAAGGGAAATTGAAAACTCATAATTGGCCGAACAATACTGATTTTTTTTTGTACAGCGTGGGAAAGGCCGATTGTTAAATGTGATCCGCGCCGTGCATGAGCTAAACAACCCCAGTCTGTGTACTGTAGGTCGATGCGGCACTATTTGTCAGCAGCTGAAGAACAGTTTTCATTTCAGGGCCAACAATTGCATGACGTCATCGGCATTGATTGACACCCGATGAGAATGAGGTGTTTTCCAGGATCTAATTTAAAACGCACAACCACACAACAAGTCTCACACTGTTTTGAAATAGGTATCGTTTCCCACATTGGTTGCGTGATGAGCACGATACAGTACACGTTTAAGGACGCTGGATTGCATAGATTGAGACATACATGTACAGCACCGTACGGTATAACTTGAATTCCTCCCCTTTTCAGTTTTTATACTTAACAATTTGCTTAAGATTGTTATTATTTTCTGAATCTGTCAGCGCGGTATTTTATGTAATCTCACAGCAGCTTGCAATAGTGCAATATTACTAAATGAATGTTGTTTGTGAAAATCTCGATTGCTGTGGTGTCGAGGAAGCAGGGTCGTGCGAAATGAGCTATTGACAAGCCCCTGCTTGTTTTGCAGCAGGTACAGTAGCACAGGACGACTTATACTATAGGGTTACAGGGTTTCAGATAACGTGTGCTACGCCTCTCAATGCAAAACATAAATAACACAACGGGGGTTTTCTACAAATACCAAAACGCCAAATAGAAGTAATTTTTGCGTATTCATCCCAGCTTTGAAAACAATTTACTGAGTCATTTTATGCTTACGAAACTAGAAGATAAAACGCAGCTAATTGGCATCGCCGGAGCTTTCAAAGGCAGACGTTTTTAATTGTGGGAATTAAAAAAAATAATTATATTGCTATGGTACTGGACCATTTATCGACGGGAGTTATTTGAAAGCGAGCAGTTACTTAGACAGATGTGATATGCTGTTTTTAAAGCAGTGGGTGAATATTTTTAAAATATTGTGGTGTTGTTTGGTGTATAATTACATGTACATAAAAAAAACCCACACTTTTGGAGAGAGTACATTGAACGCTCCTCAAGTAATTTGCGTATTAGTTTACACGTTTTTACAAAAAGGGTTTGAAGCGTTAGAAAAACGCCTGAATTATATTCTCAGTTTCTGACACTAGGAAACCATCCTCGCATTTCCGGTACGCATATCGTCGTTTCAGACTTTTGTTTCTGTGTCTGCTTCATGTGACAGAGGTGAATCAGCTGCATGTTCTTCAGGATCAACAAAAAAACCTGTAGGCCTGTCCATTAAAGTGTGACATCATGTCTGCTTCACAAAATGATGCTCAGCTACAGTATTTTTATGAAAATTTCAGACGTCTGAAAGAAACCCATACAGTTTTGCTCTGTGCTGCATTTTAAGGTACTCCTTTTGCGGTCTAACTCGGATATTAGATGCTCCTGTCTGTTAATCAATATCATATTTCAATTCAGTTGTATGGATTATACTGTACTGTATATAATTGTATTGCATTTTTCTGCATTTTCTGTTTTTTTTTTTCCTGAGAATTTAGCTTTTCAAAATCAAGCTTTTTTCTACTGATTTGTTTGCTGTTTTTGCTCCCATCTGATGGTTTCAGAAATATCCTGCCTTAGGAGTGTTGTTACCTACGGTACAGTACTGTATATAGCAAGCAGAACCAAGTTCAGTCTGTGCTCAACTTTCCCAATAGCTACTCAACTTTTCCTAGTGAGATACAGACAGTCTCAGAATTAGATTGTATAAATATGGTTTTTCAGTTTAAAAATGCTCAGCTTTTTTGTTTCATCTGTAGCCCCATAAGCTTGTTCAGAGAGTTTTATGCAATAATGTACTGTATATTAATTATATGATAAAGCTTTTTGACATATGCCTGTGAAATTATGTTATCTTCCATTACATTGCTCTTCAGCACAATTGTGTGGTTATCAGTTTTAAGGAGCCTGCCCACAACTGTTTTTGGCTACAGTCTGTGCATTCATTTTCCTTACTCTCCAAACAGTGTTCTTGGTTCAGCACTTCCACGGTTTGACTGCACAACATTAGGCAACTTCTGTCAAATCTGAACACTCCAACTACATTCGATATTCATTGAGGCATACAGCAATTATGTAGCTGCCACCATGATGGTTTCTCAAAGGATCTCTAGATTTATTAATTATTATATGTAATTATATCAGTTAGACTACATTTCTAGTTTTTGTTTTTAGGAAGAAGAACATAAGGGCTACTTCTGTAACACTAGTAACTGGTAAGAGATTTCTGGGTTACCTGAAAAGGACTGGGGCATTTAAATTTAATACCAGTGTTACTGATGGTTCTCCGATTCCTTTCCTCCTCTGCTGAAGTGATATAGGTCTCGGTTCATAGATGAACCCATATACAATGCCGAGAAAAGGTTAATGAAGCCCCTAGATTGGTCTGTTTATGAAGTGGATCTTCATAAAAGTCTAAATAAGAATGAAAATAAACTGATTAGCCATGTAACAGAAAGACGTAAATTGTATTTGGATTATTTAATTAACATAATGCCCAAGCTCTTAACATCCTTCTGTGAAGAAGTATAGTATGTGAACCCTTGGATTCAATAGCCAGTGGTTCAATAGCTCCTTGAGCAACAGTGACTTCAGTGATGTTTCCTGTAACTATGTCAGTCCCTCAGACTGGCTTTTGAGAACTTCAGCCCACTTTCCTCACGTCGGGTCCCGCTGTAACATCTCAGTGGGGTTTGGGTCCAGACTTCGATTTGACCCATCCAGAACGTAAAATGACTTCTTCTCCAGCCATTCTGTTGCAGCTTGGCTCCTGTGTTTCAGATAATTGTCTTGCTGCACGACCCACTTTCAGCTCAGCTTCACCCGATGTATGGAAGGCCTGGAATCAACCTCCAGAATTTGCTCTTACAATGCAGAATTCATGGTTCTGTCAAAGCCATCCGGGTCTCTAAACCATAATACTCCCAGCATCATCCTTGACGGGTTGGGTGATCTTCCTGACTAAAATAACAAGGGAGTCATATTTAAACCGAACCACATACAGTTTATAAAATGACTGTGTGACAGTTCCCCCTTTGTTTGGCAGCCGAGCGTAGAGGATCTGCACATATTAATCCCCATTTTATATCATGGTCGATACAGAATGTGGTGACCAGGCCACTTTTTAACGTGTGACTGGTCCACCACAAGGCCAATCTCCTTCTTTTCTCTTATGAGTACTTACTGTGGAACTTTCCTTGACTCATTTGATCCTGTTTGGCCAGATCCACTTTACTGTCTTTACTACCTTACCAGTAGGCCAACACAGCAATAACTGAGGGCTACTTACTAACAACAGCTCCTTACTGAGAGCCCTTCTCTGCTCTCAATAACCTAGTGATCAGCAGTCTTCCTATGAGGCTGGTAACCAGTAGTCTTACAGTAAGACTGTACCAACTAAGAGTCGCACTGCGAGACTCTTCTAATCAGGAATCTCCCTGCGAGACGCTGTTTCTCACCATCACAAATGACAGCGAGGGTCTAATCCAAATTTGAGCAGACAACCGCTGTCTTTTCCCTGAATCCCTCTACAGGGAGTCGGCTTCCAACAGGTTACAGCAATGCCTTAATAACCTTGTGGACTCTCAGATACTGCATTTTCTCTTTGCTTCTGGAGAGCTCCGCAACGTCTCCCATCTGTCCTTGTACCTTTTCCAGTGATCACAGTCCAGATCCAGGTTTATGGTTCCATCTGCTTCTCGAGTAGACTTTACCCTCAGGAGCTTGTTCAAGTGCTGGATCTTGAGGCAGTTCCGCAGTTTGGTTCTGACACCGCTTGATCTCATTAAACTGAAATCACATTCACAGTTGGCTCTAAAAACCTGGAAAGCACCACAGATGTTAATAAGTGGTGCCAGCTCAGTCAGCTCTTTAACTGTTCAGCGTCCAGATGACCATGTTAACAAATCTCCATAATTGCTTTCAGTTTTATTTTTTTCCTTAACCACATTTTTGGTTACGCAGTACAAAAAGACATTGCTGATTTAGAATTAGTCCGGAGAAAAGCAATCAAGTATATTCCTGGACTGACTTCAAAATCCACAGGGCCACTAACATACTGTAGATAACCCTATGGATGGTTGAGAATCAGCAGTGAAATAAAAACTAGGGGGCACACATGTTAGCTAGGTGCATTTGTTTACAACAAGAGTTGTGGGAGACTGGTACAAGCTAACAAAGTAATGATGTTGAAGTCCATGTCAAGAAACAGTTGGATGAGATTACTTAGATCACTTAGCTACTATAAATGAAATGAGCAAGATAGTCCAAATGTTAATGTTGGATTTCCTCACAATTAAGCAATAATTCACTGGGTACAGCATTGTTTAATAAACTGTTTAGGACATTAAAACATCAACACAGTTTGAAAATGAGAGGAAGCCACTTGATCCATTTAGCTTGATCCGGGGAATCTCGGTCAGCTGTTTCTTGAAAGAAGTGATGGCATCTGCTTCCACAGCATAGCTGGAAAGCTTGTTCCAGACTCCCACAACCCTGAGCCATTGTCCGAGTCTTGCACAGACTCCTGGGATATAACCCTTCAAAATTCTTGCTGCCTCAGCATTGCTTAGATTTTTGATTAGCAAGGAACTGTGGTGTGATGACAAGAAAGCAAGCTCATAGAAAACCAGAAATCCAAATCTCTTTGGTAGGAGCACAGACCTGCTGGTCCCATCAGGCAGTGATAATAGGAGAGGGGTGCCGCCCAGCTCCTCATTCAGCTGCCTGCTTGGGCTTTGTGCGCCTTGGAGTGGTTGACAGCTTTAAGCTCCCTTTTCAGGCCCACAACTGCTTTCCCAAAGTGGACCAAACAACACAGCTGTGCTCGCAAAGGGATTAAACACAAAATTGTACAGGGGAGAGGAGCTTTACCATCTCGAATGAAAAGAACAGGCTCACCATATTCTGCCCTGTGCCAAACAGAAGGCTTACAGCGATCCTTTCAAATGAGGAACAAAGAGCAAAAAAAAAAAAGTCCAAACAGGGGGGGCAAGTTTGGAACTAAGTTTGATTCTTGGCCAGTTCCTTTTTTGTTGTTGTTTTAAAAGGCCTTTAACCATTTCAAAGGCAGAAACGTAACAATGTAGAAGCAAGACAAGCCGCTGGTCATTGAGGTTTGGACAATATTGTAGTACATTTTTTTTTCTGAGACTGTGCCAAGCAAAGAAAGATAGGAAGGCCAAATGTCAAAAATGTGATGCAGCACAGAAAGAAATCCCAGTAAAACAGCACTTTCATTCAGCTGTATGCACCTATATGTAAGTACACGTAATGAGTGCACACAGAAGATGGATGAACTTGAGCTGAAAACTTCCCGTCACTATTATTTTCACTCAAAATCTGTTTCCACTGCACAATAAATGAATCCTATCAATGGATGTGAAAACTGCAAAACGTTTCCCTTGATAAATAAGGCAGGTCTTTAATTTCATAGTATCTATCCATCCATCCATTTTCTAACCACTTTAGGTTGAAGTTGTGGGGGAACTGGAGCCTCTCTCAACATCAGGCTGACCAATGAGCAAGGCAGAATTCGCCAGTCCATCAGAGGGCCGTGCAGACACAAACATGCACAAACGCACGCCAAGACCAGTTTCCCCAGGAGCCAGTTAACCTACCGGTATGTCTTCAGACAGTGGGAAGAAAGTGGAGCACCCACGCAAACATGGGGAGAACATGCAAACTCCACACAGACAGCTCCCCAGGAGGTAAAACCCAGCGTCCAGTTGCACAACCATGCTGCCCTAATTTCATATTATCTTCTGGAAATTGACATTAACAGGAATATGACCTCATAAAAGTCGGGGGGGGCCGTAGAGAAGGTATTAGGGCTCTGAACGGATAATTAGAAGGTTGTGGCTTTGCAGTAGGTCTCTGCTATGGACAGTGCCGATGTTTCCTTGAGCAAGGTACATTACTCAGCTGTACAGCTCCATACCAGTATTGCTGGGAGTAGCGTTCCATCCAGGGAAGAGAAATGTATTCCTGGTCCACTTAACACGATAGAAAATAGGGATAAACCCAATCCTGATGACCCTGTGAACTTGACTCTGAACTTTACCTTTAATGCAACATGGAAGATTCCAAGGACATGCTCTTTTTGGGATGGAGGGGCAATCCTTTGGAATTACGGAGCGTAAAATGTAACTCTGTTAATGAGTGAAGCAGAGTTTCCGATTGACACGTATGCAAAAATTGATTTTAACACTGGCCACAGAATCATGAGTGTAATCCAAAAGGTTAGGGTGTTAAGGTTCAGAGAAGCAAGTCTTTTTTTATTGTCTTAATGCTGAGTGCACTGCAGTATACAACATGGACATATAAAGGGAAATATATTTACGCTGTTACCATTGCCCAGTGGGAGGTAACTGACAATGGACGACTAGTATATGTTTAGAATGACAAGTACCAGCTGAATCACAAATATGTGTTGCTAATGGCTTCCTAGGACCGAACCCAGTCTTGAAAGTGAATATCTTGTCCAACTGAAACAGTGGTCCCCACTAAAATACTGTAGAGAGCCATATAAGTATCTTCGGGATTGTTGGTAAGCCACATATAAATCTTATTGCCCTCACACCTCAAACATAAACAGAATGTTTTTCATTTATCCTTAGACACTGAAACTTGCAAATAAGTAAACTTGCTTCTAATATTCTGATAAATCTGGTTGCTGTGACTCACTTATTGTATCATGACTGCAGTGTAAAATGCTAGTAATAATCCGGTTGACCCAAAAGAAACAACCACAGGGAAAAGCAGATTTATGATTTTGATTTAGCCAAAATGACAGGGAATCGAAATAACACACACAGTACAAAATCATTAGGAAGTATATTTTTTCCCATGGGACATAAACTGATTAACACATGTCAAAAAAGGCATAACACGTTTAGTTTAGCTACTGCTGAAGATCACTAGAATCTGGAAATTCAAAGTTTGTGAGCCCACAAATATCACAAGGAGCCCAAATAATTTAAGGTTTGTCTATGCCTGAGGATGCTTTATTAGATGATTAAATTAAAACTGTTCCAGACAAAATGTCCATTTACATCAGTCCTCATTAAAAACCACAACTCATTCAAGGTATTTATCATGTAGTGGCCCGAACACATTACAAACCCATAGACCTAAAAAAGACCGCTGTGGTTGTACTTGTTCTTGTCTTTAATGGCAGCCCCTGTGTCTGTAGACTTCTATTCTAATCTACTATCATGGAGTTCCTCACCGCCGGATAATTTTCGAAGAACCCCTGTGGGGAAAAAAAAAAATTGTTGAGCAGCAGAAAGTACAAAGGGACCTACAGATGATTTCTTAAGATTGTATACAGAGCCGTACCCTGCTATAATTAGAAGCCTTGTGACACAGAGAAACTGACAGAAAATCATAATGTACTATGTGAATTTCAGAATCATTTCATTAGTTTAAAAACAGAACCCTCCCATAAGGATCCGCTTCAGTGAAAATGACATCAGTGCAGTGAAAGTAAGCCTTAAAAAAATAAGGGTGTTCCATGTGAATATACTAATATATTTAAGTAAAGTAGGGTGTGGCTTGAGATAACTGCCCATTTATGTACTGTATATGATACCATCTATATACAGTAGTATTAGCACATACAGTACTTTAATACTGTATACATTTTTGCTCAGTCTTTAATATATTTGGATTTCGTGCCTCACATTTGGACAGGCTGGTACTCACCGTTATGCCAAGCAACTTTTGATCATTCTACTCTTCAAACGTGTCTGTCTTTTTCACTTCATCTACATTTTTCTTCAGAATATGCATCTCTCTGTCCTCCTAACAATTTCCCTTGCCCGCCGGCTTTCACAAAATGGGGACAGCTGCACCTGTGGACGCACCAGCCTGCGTGCCCGCTAAAGTACTCTGGTGAAGAAATCAAATATGTGGATGCAAAAAATCTTTCAGCCTATCCCAGCAAGCAAGGGGTGCAAGACAGGACATACCCTGGATGGAATGCCTGCCTATTGCATAGTTACTGCCTGATTTTCTTCAAGATTAGGATGATAGCAGCTTGAGCAATATTATGCTGCTATCAAGCTTAAGGGATCGACCCAGCAGAATCAATGGTACCTGAAACAGTGTTGTGGTCTGAAGGATGCTAGATGTGCAGCACATCTCCCGGATCGAATGCATGGCCAGCTGAGGACTTCCCAAGTCCAACACGGGAATGCCCAGCTTGGCGGACAGGATAGGGCCGATAGTGGTGCCACAGGGACTGTCGTTCCTCACCATCACATCCTGCACCCAAGAAAAAAAAACCTAATTACTCATAAAACACTCAACGCTGAGAGAAACATACAGGGTCCCCCTCTGTTTCTGAAATAGCCTAAGTGCCTGTTTGAAAAGAACCTGAACTCACCCGCAAAGCTCTGCACACAACTCAAAGCACAAATTCCGTACGAAGTGTAGTTCCCCGTTGAGCGACATCAACACCATTGTGCTTTTGCATTGGTGAGGAGGAAGCAGAGTCAAGAGCTCTTAAACTCCAGTCCTCAAGAACCATGGGGTTTTCTTGTTTTCTTTCTAAGTCAGCTCTTGATAACCTTATTCAACTTTTTGGCTGCTTAATTAATCTAATTTAATCATTATTCCCTGGCATGTAAGACGCAAAGGTTTTAAAAGACCACTAAAACCCCGTTGATTTTTCGGCCAGACACTTGTGTGATATTTTTATCTGCGTCTTGGCTTGCAGCTACAAACCCTGCAGCCGCACACAGGAAAAACAAGGAAGAGTAGTCACACTCCTCAGATCTGCTGATCCCAGCTGGAGGAGAGGGGTGCCCCATGTGATATTTAAAATACCTCGACTTATTCCATAAAGCTAGTACAAACTAGCTATATCACCCTGCAACTCACAACTAGCAATCCACTGAAGCTAAGCAGGTGTGAGCCTAGCCAGCACCTGGATGGGAGACCTCCTGGGAAAACTAAAGAGGGGTTAATGGGACCAGAATGGGATGCTCACCCTGCGTTATGTGTGGGTCCTAATGCCCCAGTATAGTGATGGGGGCACTATACTATAAAATAGGCACCATCCTTCGGATGAGAAGTAAAACCGAGTTCCAGTTTCTCTGTGGTCATTAAAAATCCCCATGGTCATTACAAATCCCAGGGCATTTCTCAAAAAGTGTAGGGTTTTCACCATGGCACCCTGGCCAGAATTCCTGGTCTTTATCATTCATTATCTCTTAATAATCTTAATAAATGTGTGAAAACACTGAGCTTGAAGATGCTAAAAAATTAAAGACTCGTGCTAACAAATGACTTAAATCTTCAAAATAATGCAATAAAAATCATAACATAGGAATAAGCCTAAAACTTAAATCGAGGGATGTTAAAACTGAACAATACACCAGCAAGACCTCATTTAGAATGCTGTGTACAACGTTGGGCACCACAATAAATTAAGATATTGCTGGTATGAAATCGGTAGAAACCTTGTAAAAATGACATTCATTTAATAGACTATTCAAAGAAACTCCAGTATACGTCTTTCACTGTGTGTATAATACACACACTGAAAAAACAAAAACACACAACGGTTTCAAACAGCAAAGAAATGAGAAAGTGTGCAGGTGAATTGGGCAGCAAACACATTTTCACAACCTGCGGGATGCGTGTTTCGAAATTGCAAGCAGAGTGTTTTTTTTTTTTTGTGTGCGATTACAGGAAAAAAAGGACCAGAGGCAGAATTCGAAATTTCACAACGCGTCACTTTCAAGGCTGCGTTTTTGGGGCTAATCGGAAATCATTTTTTGTGGGCTGCTGCAGGGTTATCAAAGAAGGTAAATGGAGACCAGAGTGTCCTTGAGAAAGCTTGCTTTTACTGCCGTGTAGGCAACATCTCCTGCCAAGTGATGGAACACAACGGCAAGTCCTTGCCTCTTTTCCCCAAGACATTTGAACTGTAAATTATGTCGTCTCTTCTGTTGTGCTTCCAAGATCACTTTCGTCTTTCCAATTTAGAAACTATTTATGCGTCAGCATCTCAAATCCATTAGCTTGTAGAAAACATTTGAAAACTGGCTTATATACAGTATATACTGTTTCAGATTCATTTGCTGGTCATTAGTTCAACAAGGACTCGGAGGCAGTGAGACGAAAAATGTTTTGAATGATTTTTATTACCGGATAACGGCAGTAGCTTTCTCCCTAAAACGTGCAGTCATTGATTAGAGATGTTAAAACTAGAGTCCTGGCTAAAATCCAGGGCTCACACATTCTGTCTTCCCCAATTTGGGCTTCCACAATCTGGCGTACCTAAATTTCCCCCTTACTTTGATTGGCGAAACAATTTCTCACTCCTCCTTCTTACCTGTGGTGTAGTGGGATTGCTAGTGCAGAATTGCTGTTGCGGTTTAAGTTTGTACGTGTTACAGAAACTTTCCAGGTGGCGCAGCACAGAAACAAAATAAGAATTTGCACTTTTCAGCCCATTTTTACTTCCCATATGGGAGAAATCCCACTCGCTCCACCAATAAAGCACAGGATGCTGTGACAAGCTGAAAGAACACAGGAACGACAGTTCCTCTGATGTTAACGTTATGGTCACTGAATAATTCATGCTACTGTATATTTGGAGACAATTGGCCAAACAGTCTTTAAATGGCAGGAGCTAGTGTAAGGGCTGCATATTGACAACAAAGAAAATGAAATGGTGGTCAGGCAGCCATCTTGTTTTGCTCAAGAATCCAGTTTTAACATATAGCTATAATTGAAGCTGCTGGCCACACAGCTTTTGTGCAGGAGCTGTTTGCATGATGAAGTATCGCTATTGAAAGATTACACCATGTTCTGTCTTGTTTGGTGCTAAAATATTCTGAAGGAGTTACAACCCAGTCTTACTCGTATTGCCACATCCTCACTCCCAATCAGAATCTCCAGAACAAATATCACTGGCACATGATATGGCCAAGAGAAGGTTGAGGGCTAAATTAAAAAAAGAACTTAAAAAAGTAAAAAAGAAATCAAAAGCCTTTCTCTGATAGAACCAAACACACCAAAAGATTGAAGAAAGAAATTCACAGAGAAGGCATTACTCTCAACTGCCAGAACTGAACAGTCCTTTAACTGTCGACTGAACACTGCCAGAAAGCGATTCCATACCGGCAATAGATGTACAGTGATTCAGGGTTTACGAAAGCTCAGTTTAGTAGTAAACCTGGAAGGAAGCATGTAGCCGCAGGACCTACCTGCAGGGGAACGTCGACTTTGGTAGCAATCTCTCTCAGGATGGAGGCAGTCACAGCAGTGGTGGCATAGCGCTGGTTACTGTTAAACTTGATCACTGGACCCTGGGATGAGAGAGAGAACTGCAATCAATGGAGTCCAAAACCATGCTGAAATAGCAGCCTGAGCCCTGCCTGCTGATCCTGTATCCATATCCATAACCTCCCAGGCTTGACTCTCCACTACTGCAGACCTACTGAACAGTTACTGATTGTACTTGCAGGCTGGCATAATCCACACTTGTATGAGGGCATCGATCGATTTACAGTTGATTTGGTTGAAAAGCTCAACTGGGTTGATTTTACGATATCCTTTCTCACGCATAAATACCTCGGTGACCGGGAGCAGTCCGTTCTTTCACTATGTTTACAGCCTCAGACACTCTTTTGCTGTGATTCATATCATGTTCTTTGGCTAGACTCCTTGCCATTCAAGAAATGTACTGTAATGGCTCGCCCCTGATTTGAAAAAAGGTGATCAATTTATTCCATCTGCTTCAAGAGAGTTCAGTCATTTTTCCTGTGTTCCAAGCCTTGAAATCATTCTTATCTTGGTAACAGAGTAGCGCAGATCATGCTCTAATTGCCAATGGCTATCATAGACACAAAAAAGAGCATTTCGACATGGCAGAATTCATATTTTCTGAAGGTTTTCAATATAATTCCCTCATAACACATGACTTCTCAAATTACAAGTGGAAGGCATTTCAATGAATGCATGTATTTGGAATGAGAACTGGTTAATGGATAGAAAATATAGAAAGAATAAAGAGTGAACAGGTCAAATTACATGCACATAGCAAAACAAAACATTAAGATGGGAAGATAGGATTGAAAGCACTGAAGTAATGGAAAAGCTGTTTACGTTGATACATTTGACCTTTTCTACACACGTAGGACGAACAGCAAACGGAATGTAAGTTTATATACTTAAAAGTGTGGAACTGAAATTAATCAATATTATGTTCAAATTGTATAATGCACAGTCACAGCTTATTTTCCATACAATATAATTCTGGTCACCTCATTATAGACACTGCTGCCCGTAGAGTCAGACTAGCAAAGAGTACAATTCCAGGCTTAAAGGGAGGTCCAGTTTCGACAGGCTTATATAATCAAATATTCTTAAACTTGAACAGAAAAGACTATATAAAGGACCTGGTCCAAAAAAATCAAAATCTTAAAAGACATTCAGGAAACAACAGTGAAATACAAACTAAAGGACACAAGTAGGAACTAAGGGGCAGTGCATTTAAGACAGAGAACAGAAGGGACTTTTTTTTTACACCAAGGGTTGTCGGAGTCTGGAACATGTTAGCCAGCTGTTATTGCGGTTGATATATTCGCAGGCAGCCAGTGAGGAAAATGAAGGTTACCAGCCTGGAGACACCTTTCCCAGTGTATAACTGGCTAGCAGAGTCACATGAGTTTTAAAAGCAGTGGGTATCTGTGATGAGGACTTCAACTTCTCAGTCAGGTTTGAGACACAGTTCTCTAGGGCAGTAGATGCAATTTGGTTAATCAAGATGTTCACTCTTGAAGTTATTAATATAATTAATGACACGTATATACATTGTACACTGTTTACAGCTAATGGGGTATAATTATTACAGACGCATTGCCTGTTTACAATAAAGTGCCACATCGGAACTGGGCGATGTGGTGGCTCTGTGGCTAAGGATCTGTGCCTGTGGCTGGAAGGTTGCCGGTTCGTATCCCGTGGCCGGCAGAGGAATCCTACTTGCTGGGCCCCTGAGCAAGGCCCTTAACCCCAACTGCTCCAGGAGCACTGTTTTTATTAGTTAAAGAATAACTCAGAATCTCAAGTAGGTAGCTGTGTCAGCATGCATAGGCTGCAAAGTAACAAGTAAAGTTTTATTTCATGCTGAAAAGGAAAGAGAAACAACGTGTTGGCTGTGGAACCTTCTTCAGGTGTGAAGGCTCCACAGCCGAAACATTGTGTTTCTTTTCTTTTCAGCATGGAATAAACCTTTACTTGTTCCTTTGCAGCCTAACTCAGAATATCCTGCCAAATGACTGGTAATTGGACAACCTATGTCATTTCCAAAGTTTCTAATACCATTTCAGAAACAAAGTGAGGGATAACTGGGATATAAACAGAATTCACAGCCTCCTCCATCAGTGGGATTGTGTACCAGTGATGCCCAACTGCACCATCTGCATCTGGTAGCATTGTCAAGCACATGATGAAGGGTCTGACATAGACAGCCATGTACAGGGACAATGCTGATATCATGTGGGCAAGTACTCAAAATGGCTACCATTACATTTTTAAACTCTGTATAGGAAGCATTGAGTCGTTCACTGACTATCAACACCCTTTTATAAACCAACTCCCATGACTGCAACGCTAGCGTGCTGGTGAAAGATGGCCCAGGCTTCATAATTTCTTGTTGAAATAACGCTCGCTTCAAATCAGTACAGACCATTAGATCCTGTGGGACCTGAGCTGATCGCTCAAGATACAAGGAATTCTGGGAGTACGAGATGGGGGAAGTTAACGTTAATGTAAAATTGCCCTTACCTTGTGGAAAGCTGGTCTGTGATTCTCTTCATGTTTCTCTCTAGAGAAAACAGGATAACAAATTTCAACCCCCTTATTAGGTGAATTAAATGACAAAACAAGAACATTCTTAATTCATTTGCTGTTTGCTGGAGATTAGCTCCATACACGATACTCCAATGTAGAATGGGATGCTAGTTTTAAATCCCCATGTGTCAATTACCAACATCAAAACAAATGCACTGAAGATGATGGCTAGTACAGCATATTGCCAAATGGAAATGTAATTTAGGTTGTCAGGAACCAACTTGCGAGTACAAAGGGGACTGAGGAGTACATTCATAGTGCCCTGATGTACTCAGTGAGTACAATTAACCTTTTTCCTGGCTCTTCCTGCACATAACAAAAAAGCACATCAATTTAAGTAACGATTTACCCAATTAAGTAGCTTTCTGATACAATAAATTGCAAAACTTCAGAAGAAAATACGTTTTAGGGATTTTGCAATGGCAGGGCTTTTAATCACAGCTCTTGAGTCCCGGGTTCGATTCTGGGCTGGAGTGTCTACAGTCTGGCGTTTACTTTTTTCCTCATGTCCACATACTGTAGGTTTTCTCAAGAGTGCTCCGACTTCCTCCCACACTCCTCAGACCAGCCTGGCTAGGTTAATTGATGTGTCTACATTATGATGATGCATTAATGGACTCAAGTTTTATGTTATTTATTTGAGATTTAGTTGAGACTCAACTCTGAATCCATACTGACACCTAGTGGCAAATGATATTCACTGCAGCTGTCCCCTATCCGTAGTTTAAATAAGTAAATGTACTGTATACACTACTGGAGATTCTGAGTGACGACAGATAGATACAACTATCAACAAAACTTCATTTTTAATGATATATATATATACAGAATTCAACATTAAATTAAAGCACTAATATTACTAATAAATTTTAGGAACAACAAGACAGCATTAACAACCAATAGTCATGACATTTCTAGTTATGAGTGATGATTTAATTGCTGTGCTGATTCTATACAGTAGTGGTAAAAAGCTACATGGCTATTTTAAAGAAATGGTTTCATTCTGGATCTGTGGAATTGACGTGTCAGATTGTTTCTGAGTTTAGGGAAAGCTTATTTCATTTCTTGAAGGGATGTTCAACACGTTTGAAAACAAGATTTTGAAGTAGTTATGTTTTGCTGCAGTAGTGACTCCCAGGAAAAGTCTCCTTTTTACATACAGGATCCCGTCTAAAAAGGCAATGTTTTATACAACAGTGCACTACTCAGCAAAACTAAATTTTGTAGTGCCTGATTTTGTCGCTTTCCTGGTAAGTTCACAAAGGTCTTGGAGTTACAAGCGAAAAAAGTTGCTTTTGATGCTCATCATATTTACACTTTTCTCTTTTTTTTACCGTCTTGTGCTTTTCATTAGATGTGCATTCTGGAATCGCCTGCTGTTGTTCTTCTTTTACGTCTGCAGCTCATGCTAACGGCTGAAGGGGAGAACGAGGAGTAGCCGACGAGCTCCTCTGATCCTCCCACCCGCTGAATCAAACATCTTCTCACGCACTGCAGGCTTGGCCGACTGGAACAGCGCTGTGCCCATCGTAAGCCGGCGGGGGTCTGGGAGGTCCCCATTGGCTGAAAGGACCCAACCTATCAATCCCAGCCTCCTCTGCCAACTTTCACTCCGTCACCTGGGGGAGTCCCAACCACAGCTGGCTAGCAAAACGATCCTTCACTGGATGAGCTGCTTTGAAGCCCCTTTGTATTTGTTTCTTGAACATGCACCTGCTGAAAACGACCACCGTGGCAGCCCCGGATGAGTGTTTTTGTAAAAAAAAAACCCCAACAACAACAGATCCCCGCCACTGCCCGCCCCTGCCGAGAGACTCACTGATAGTTGGGGTGCACGGCGTGTGCCATGTCGGCGCTGATCACGAAGGAGCGGGGCATGGCCTCCTCGAAGGCCGTCAGGTTTTCCTTGCTGGAGGCCAGGCGCCGCAGGATGATCTCGGTCAGGGACGACATGGCGCCCTGCGCGCTCTCCGAGCCCACCTTGGGACACCAGCCGAGACAAAAGACGTCAGGAAGGACCGTGGGAGCGGTTGTCCACTCGCAGGTCGCCTTTCGGAGACCTGAACTCTTTCAAATCCAGACTCGAACCTGCTTCTTTAGAAGGGCCTTTACTTAACTGGCTCTGTTCTTTACCCCCTTCCGCTCCTACTGTATTCAGTACACCCATCCACTGCCTCCTCTCGTTGTGATTCTCATTGTTTTTTTAATGTGCTGTATTATTTTTTTGTTGGCGTTCTGTAAAGCACCTTGAGAAAGGCGCTTTCTAAAAATTCATTATTATATCGGCGATTCAGCAAGCCTCTCGCCTGAACAAAACAGAAAATGTAATTTAAGAAAAGCATAAAGCTCCCGTCTGCATCTTGCCCTCTTGCAGAAATCAGGCTGACTCTAGACGTCAACGGAAACGGAGCCTATCCCAGCATGCAATAGGAACATCTGTCAGTTGCCCGGGCACACACAGACACACACTCGCATCAGGGCCAGTTCTCCCAGAAGCCAATTAAACCCACCAGCATGTCTTTGGACTGCGGGAGGAAACCGGAGCACCCAGAGGAATCCCACGTGAATACTGGGAGAACGTGCGAACTCCTCGCAGATAGTACCCCAGGTCTGGAATTCAACACTAGACCCTTGAGTTGCAAGGCTGCAATGCTAACTACTGTGCTAAACTCAGAAGCGTTTTATCGTTTTTAAAGAAACTGTAACCTAATCTACCTGGTGATCAGTGACACACTCAACCCATTCAGGGTTTGCCAACTCTTACCTTTGGCATGCGAGTGTCTAAAGAACATAAGAAACGTTACAAAATATCATGTACTTAAAACACTTTTCTGTTTTCTAGATTTTGCTAAAGCTCAGCTGTCTTTTATTACATGGGACACTAAACGGAAATAATGATCTGCTTAATTGGACCCTCATTGATTATATCCACACCCAGGAAAACCAAAGAGGTAAATTGACTAACTTTACTTTACTAAAGCACAGCCGTTACCAGCATCAGCATACGACTTGTCCAGACTGCGTGTAGTCTTGTTTCAGTCTCTGGTATTTTTCAAATAAATAATGTACTAAACGCTGCTAATTGTTTTTCCCCATTTTAAATTTAGCCTTAAATACATTTTGTGCATCATATACGCCCTGGAGTCTAGAAAACAAAAGACCATTAGATTCTATGAATGTCGGGCAACTGCAGTTTTAAATTTTATACCAACATTTTTAAATTGATAAAACTGTTGATTGATTATTTTTCAAGGAGCCAATTCATTTGAAAAGATTGGAAGGTTTCAAAGAGACATCTCAGCATTCCGTATCGAAATTCCAAAGGACAACAACAGCTGCCAGTGGTTTAGAGCACGCAGTATGACAAAGCGTTCCAGCCTCTGGGTGGTTTGTCCGGGTTTTCTCTAATCTCGTTATTCTGGAGATCTCAACAGGCCCAGGCGCATCACATCTGCTCACCTCTTCATTGTCATACAGCGTCACCACACGGATGTTGGGGTCTTTGGCCAGGGAGTTGGAGTCAATCAGAGCCTGTGTTGGAAGGGAAAAGGCAGGTTTGACCCACTGGGTTTTGAAAACCAAAATGGCTTCCACTCATTTGTAACCTTTGAACCTCTAATGTTCCACTCCAAAACTGCACAGACTACAAATACAGTGAGCCAAGCTTGGGGTTCTATTACTATAACTATTCCCTTAAAGTACAAGCACAGCCCTATAAGTCAGACAAAGACAGATGCCCATTTTTAATGCAGTTCATTGTTACTTTTTTACTGTCAACTTAGCAGACCCAAACAACAAAGACTGGCGTTAAAATGCCTAGTATTAGGAAATTAGACGTATGGCTTCTCTGAAATTGTATACCTAAAATGATTTCCATATACTGTAAACAGAACAGTTTATACTTCTTTTTTCAGGTTCTCGTTTAAGACTGCATTTAGATAGATAGAGACTTTACTTTACTCTGGACAGCGTGATGTGATGTCGCCCAAAGCCAACCCACATTTTGAAAACAACCCAAAAGACTGGGCAGATACACTTAGAATGTGCCTGTGAATTCATATTGAATACAGACTATTAGAGGTTTATTTATTTGATTGGTTACTATTTTTACTAATCTAAATCTAAATACACTGTATGGACAGAACATTTGCATCTAATTCATTTAATAAATACATATGTATCTGCATATAGTATTCCATAACAGACTAATACTTTTGATTGGAACAATTAGAGGTTAATTTCACCCTAAAAAATGTAATTCTGTGGCTGTGGCATGTGGCAGAAGGCTCCACAGCTGAAACGGTGCGTCATTTCTATCATCTGAGTTTTAAGCATGGAATTAATTAACCTCCCATTTGAACCTTTTCTGTAACGGACTTTCACTGGACTGTGGAAAGAGACTGATAGAGTCAGTGTCTAGTGGAGTACAGGCATAGTGTGTGAAGGCTCACTGTCACACAGCAACTGATCTCCACTATGGAGCAAAGGGAGCTACACATATAAAATAAATATAAAGGGAATTTAAGGGAAATTGTTCTGTGGAATTAAAAACAATTAAGCAGGATATAATAAACAGTGTAATATAAGCTTAAGCAGAACAGACTGTGAGAGTGAGAGAGGAGTAAATACGGAGCCCAGCTACAGTACATGTGTGGGCTTATCTGATCCCTACGCAGGGAGGACAGCCTGAGCTGTAACCTCACGTATCTTCTACACACAACACGTAAGCATTTCTATTCATTCCTTCAGTACTGCTGAGTCTTTTTAAAACATGTGTGTCTCCTAGGTTGTGGTTCATCAAGTGAGGCCCTAAGTCAGGGAAAATCAAATTCTACTGTATATCCTTTGAGCAAAGAGAACTGTAGTTAAGCCCAAAAAAATCTGCATTGTTGGACCTAAACTAAACACATCTCACCTTCAGGGCACAGAAACAACTGTGGAGGTTATCAAGACGAGGAGAGAAGATGAACTCCTCAAACACGCCTCCCAGCACCTTAGAAAAGACACGAGTTCACATTACTCCGTTATTCATACAGTATATCAAATATGTGAAAAATATTACAAACTAATTTGGGTTACTAACAACAAAAGTCTTGTATTTTAGCACTGTATTTATGCCTGCTCTGTCGACATTTGTGTTTTACCGGAATAACAAAAAGTGTTTTTTTTTTGTCATTGATTTCTTTGGCCCGTCGTTCTTTAATCCCAAAAAAATGGTTTTGTCAACTGTACATGTCGTTATGTCACAAAGGAAAACTGAGCTGTAGCTTCACCATAAATGCTGTAAGAACAATTACTTTGTAGAGGTAAAAAGTGCTGCCTAGCAACCAAATCGAGGAGAGGGGTCTCTGTTTGCATAGTATCACACTGATGTCTCTTGCCGTGATTTCTGTGTTATTACAAGTGTAAAATATAAATCTAATACATGAATGTAGCTCAAATGAACTGATACTGCAGATCCCCAGCAAGTAAGCTGCAAAGCACAAAGGACAGCCTCTGGGTAACAAAAAAACAGCTCAAAGTTAAGAGTCTCCTTTATGATCTTACATCTGATCATTAGTGTGCTTAGATGCTTAAGTATTTGATTTTAGAATCCCCTGATTCATATCAAGGTGTAAGTGTAGGATATTATAGGAGAATTAGATTTTTTAAATTAATTGTAAATTAATTGTGCAGAGTCTTGTGCACTCACCCAAAACCAAACTGCACGGTTTCATTACCAAACACCAGAGTTAAGCATTAGACGGAAGACTGCCACAGTTCTCACTAATAAGAGAGAGGCTTCAAATACAAATAATTTATTTACACAAAGGGTTGTGCATCTGTGGAATAAGCTGCTTATGCACATTTTTTGGAGCGGGCTGCTTGGAGTTCTTCAACGCAAGGCTGGATAATTTTTGACAGAACAAGTGAGACAAAAGAATGCAAATGTCAGGAAGCAGGTTGGCCAATTGTCTCCTGTCACTTGGGGAATGCAGGGCCCCTCCATAAAATGAATTTTTTAGGTGCTTGAGTGGCTGTTTTGGGGACTAGGGCCAGGAATGGCTTTTTCTAACCTTCAGACTGAGAAAACACCTTTTTTTTCCCTTTGTTGTCAATCAAGAGCACGCCTCAGCAATACCAAGTAAAGAAAACGGTGTGAAAGAAACTCACAGCCGGCTGAGTGTCCACAAGGCAGAGCTCAAAATCCAGCAGGGACTCTTTCTCCACCTCCAGCTCGGTGCACAGCAGGTTGATGAGGGCTAGATGATGCTTCTCTGACTGACAGCACGGAGGAAGAGAGAAGAGTGGAGAGAGAGTAAGGTCAGGAGAAGCTGGATCCACGCTGAAGTAGCAAGAGCAGTTTACCTGGTATAGAATAGATACTCCGTGATGCCCTTAAATGGGAACGTTACCAGATCTCAACATTCCTACCTGTTATTTTATCCATCCATCCATTTTCTAAACCGCTTTATCCAGCACAGGGTCTCAGGGGAGTTTGAGGCCTAACTCCCCAAGGCAGGATACACCCAGTCCATCTCAAGGCACACACAAACACAAAATCACATCCCAGCTGATTTTAAAAGAACCTACCAGTATGTCTTTGGACTGTGGAGGAAAACTGGAGCACACCGGAAGAAAACCCAAAATGAACAGAGGGAGAACATACAAACTTCATACAGATAGTACCCCAGGAACTGAACCCAAGGCCCCAATGCTGTGAGGTAGCACATCAATTTTTCATCAATTTCCCTTCGGGATCAATAAAGTCTTATCTATCTATCTAGCAGTACACATGAGTTATTCAACATAGAAAAGAAGATAAACAACATTTCTTGTCACTGATCATTTCGAAACCTTTGGCACATTTTCAGATTCTTCAAAAGAGGCTGTGGCCATAGGTCAAGCTATATACATATAAAATTAAATCCTGTGCCATTTCTGATCACCTGAAAAGGCACCACTGTTTACTCAGTAAGCAATCAGAAAACTGCTTCAAACAGAAAACAATTTCAAAGAAATGTCACTTCACTGAAACAAAAAAAATGTTCTGGTACAAAATTAAGCATAAAAACTTTAATCTACTTTAGTATCCCTAGACAAACAGGTATTTGCAGTCATTTAAAGTGCAAGCCTTTATTTATTATTTATACTTAGCCTTTATCATTTATTTATAGACTCATTGATATTAACTGCAATTGCAAAAATGGATGACTTGAACTGGAAAACATGCTGTAGGAATTTCCCCCACTTTAAAATCAACCTACGTGTGACCCGTTTGTTTCTATTCTCATAGAAGATCTGTATGTCCAAGACCCAGTAAGGCCCTGAAGGCTTCAAATACCAATGAGCATTAAAGAAAATTTGGAAAAGCATATCGAGGAAAGCATAAAAAGATAAAGTGATGTCAACATTCACACTTCATGTGCAGGTTTTGACAGTTTTTTTAAATGCAAAATAAAATTATAACTATGTTAAATAAAGCTCTAGCAGTATTGCTCTCATAAGCAGCACAAAAGCATAAAGCTGGAAGAAAAACTTGTTTTATTTGTCAGATTTATCTCAGTTTCTGACAGGAGGGTCATAGAAAAGCACTCTGCCCCTGCCAATGGAATATCCCATTGCTCTAGGTTGTGACCCGAGTGCTGTCCCACTTACCAGAAAATTAATTTTGGAAGACAGCTCTGTATCTCAGTCATCACTGAAGCCTGTGCAAACGCAGGGCCATATTTATCCTCATGTTATAATAGACCTTTGTCGTAATTAAGATAGCTAGATAGTTAGAAAGCCTGATAAAGAGATGGTCCAGCTTCGATGAAACACCAGGATCTACAGGAATGAAACACAAACCCACCCATAAGGTAACTTCGGCTAGGGCACCTTTACAGGGTCTGATGTAGACATAAAACACCTTAAACAGGGATGTGTTCTGGGAAAATTGTCACAATTTCTGAGCATGCTTTCCTTAAAGTAACCCGGGTCCTGCACCCTAACTAACATGCCACAGCGACATCTTTAGTGCCAAATCGGGGTGTGAAAGATCACCGAGTTGATGACAATGCTACAGAATTTAGTTGTGAGGGTCTATTACCGTTGTTGTGGCACTGCTGGCATCCCCAGTTGAAGCAGAACCTGTCTCCAGCTCTTCCTGCACTGCTGTGGCTAGGATTGGGACACTGGAGGAGACAACGAGCAGGATCGGAGATCAGCAGATCGCCCAGATTAATTCCTAATAAATGATACTTTCACTTATGTAGCGCTTTTCTGGACACTCCACTCAAAGTCCTTTACAGGTAATGGGGACTCCCCCCAACCATCGATTACGGAGGAGTCCGATGAAAATACACCTTGAAACATACTTATTTCTGAAATATAAACTAGTGAGCCTTTTTTAATCTTTTAGAAAGTGATATTGCAGAGAAGACCGGCCACCTAACAGTCAATTTGTCCCATTTGAACCCATGGACTAAGCTACTGTATAGTAGAGATACAAGGGCCTACCTCCTTTTGGAGTGGAATGGAATTTGGAACAGTGGACTGTTAAAACATGATCAGCAAGGAAACTGGATGTGCTTGACGTATGAAGGCTTTTTTCAGAGGTCTACCGCTGCTTGAGCATTTGAGAAATCCACAGATCATGCCTGTGGAAAGCACTGCAGTAAAATCACTTCCCGAGCTTCACTCATACTTGGTCTATACCAAGAGTGACCCGCAGGTTCACAGCCTAGAACTCTCAATCTCTTCCAGTAATCTCTGCATAAGACAATATGCTGCACTAGCAATTTGTACTTTCAGTTCTGTTTTCCTCCTATTAAATTGCCAATCATTTCCTAGGGTAATGCAGAGCAATTTAATGAAGGGGGGGAAAAAGCATCACATTTCAATCCCAACTGCCACAAAAGACTTTTGTTGGGTACAAAGTTCAATAAAATTCCCAACAAAATACAATGATTTTACTGATTTTCTTCTTCCAGCCGCCGCAAGCACATGTGGTAACAGATGTGCTAATATAACCCAGAAATTAACAGGAAATGTGATTCCTTAATGTAGGAAAGATCATAGATCAACACCCTGTTCTCACTGCTGTTATGGTTGAGCAATGGCAGTACGTGCTGGCTGTCACTCACAGGTGGCTCTCCTTGTTGGGGCCGAAGCTGTCGTTGACGTCTCTCTGGAGGTGGATGGCCAGGTGCGGGATGCGTAGAACAGGCCTCGGGATGTGAACTAGCTTCTGCGACAACAGCTGGCCAGTCTGCACGGGGAATCACAGCTAGCATTACAAACAAGTGAACGATTCTAAATGAGAGAAACTCAGTCTGAAAGAATAACCGAATGTGTGTCGGGAATATTCTCAGTCTTGAATATACAGGATGCTTATATAGTTGGCAAACTAAGCAAGGAAACGTGGTAAACACACAAATGTAACCGAGGGAACACCATCCTGTAGACAAGGGTAATACACACCAGAAGGCACTGGTGACCCACTGAGTAAACAGAGTATATTCCAAGGAATAACTATGATGAACACTAGTGACATGTGTGCCCCCTGCTGGTCACTATTATGATGCTAAATCCTGATGGTTTGGTTCATACTGTATGTGAACCATGTTTCCCTGTTCTGTGTCTGAAAAGGCCAAATAACTTCCTAATCATCCTGTATGTTTTCAGATTTTCCTCTGGCCCATGTTTCACAGCTGACTTTAAAGGACGCCTAATCAGCCAATGGAAAATAATTATCATTGCTAACTGTTAGATTAAATATACACCTGTATATATATCTGTGTGTGGGCACAGCACATCACTTCTGAAACCACTGATCCCCTTCATAATCTCAAATGCTTTTAAAGTTATACTGGCAAAATATAGAGAAATGTAGGTACACATTCATTTACTGTAGATCTCTGTAGGAAAGACATACAGTAGGTATCTCAGACACAATTCAGAGTTACAATACATGAATATATATATATATATTACAGGCATCAGCAATCAAGTCTCTACTAGTGGCCTCTACCATTATCTCAACACTGACATTAGTACACCTCAGATTGGGCGAGAAGTGATTTAGCAAGTCATTTAGTAAATTTAATCTATGACTAATATCAATCAGATGTACTTGACTCATTTTCTGATTTTCCTCATCATTAATATAATTTACACTCTAGACCACCATAAAACCAGAAGACTGCTTTTGTTCTCCAAAATAGGATTTATCATAATTAACTGTTTTAAAACATAATTGCTCAATTTTCAGTAGCAGCCTGTCAAAGAAACAGATTTCTGCAAGAATAACCCTGAAAAAAGAGTAAAACAATTAAGAAATGTAAGTGCCCCGAGTCTTTTTACAGCAGCATGCACTTTGTAAAGATGTGTCATTTTTTAATAATAGCCTCTATCTCTAATGTCTTAACTGAATGTCATTTTATCTTAAACCCCCTCAAGTTCAAGCCTCAGAATTCATGCGTTTGCAGATTCCAGATTTCAATTAAAAGTCGTCTTCTGGAGACGCCTCAACCAGGTCAGCTGGGAAAGGTAACCCCAACTCTCACCTGTCTTTTCCTCTTCCTCTTCAGCCTTCCACCTGACATTCTGTACTTTACCTCTACTATTGCTCTTCTGTGATGTAATGATCTTCTCAACAGAAATCAGAACCGCTCACCTGTCAGATGTGCTCAAGACAGCACCTCAGTTCTCCAACATCTTCAGCACTGTTTTACTCTAATGGTTTCAGTACTAAAACTGGTAAGGTTACTTCATTTTTGCACTTATTCACTGTTAACACAATATATGCCAACAGGGTGTTTACATTGGAAGGAATTGGCTGGAAGGTTGCTGGTTCAAATCCGGCAGCCGGCAGAGGAATCCTACTCCGTTGGGCCCCTGAGCAAGGCTCTTAACCCCAGCTGCTCCAGGGGTGCCATATAAATGGCTGACCCGGCTCTCTGACCCCAAGCTTCTCTCTCCCTGTCTCCCTATCATGGAGAGCGAGTTGGGGTATGCGGAAAGAGAAATTCCTCATGTTAGAAATTGTATATGGCCAATATAGTGATCTTCTTCTTCTATTTTAGTCCTTACTTCTCTTTGTATGCCAGGTACTTGCACTAATCTGTTGCTCTTAGGGTCATTTGATTAATTTACTTTATCTTATTCAACCTACAAAATTGTTCCTTGTTCTTACACAAGATGATGATGTTGATGACTATCCACAGCAACCTGTGAGGATTAAAGCTTTGCTTATGTATCCAGAGCTAGCGGCTAACACTGGTGTTAATCGAATTCAAGGTGTTGAAACGGGGCCATTTTGAAAATTGGGAGGGAAAAACAAACCTTGGAAACAGCAAGCATTTTTGAAGATGTTTATGATACATATACCGTAGCTTCCAAATAAAAGAACAGAAATGGCATTCATATGGTTCGTGCAGGAGCCCTATATTTCTATACTGTAATTGTCACTAGAATGACATCTTGGAGTTCACAGGCTAAACAGTTTTTGAAGAAGAGTTGTGGGTGGTAAAGGCCAGATTTCAACTGCTGCAACCTGTCAGGTGCAAGTCTGAAGCAATCCTTCATGGACCTATCAATGTGTAAGTTCAATCAGTGCAAGGATGTGAATTTTGAGATCAACACTGATCAGGCAGCCATAGTGGTGACACAGAGAACCCCCATTTCTCTATGTTACTTGCCACAAAGGCTAGATTGACTAAGGTTTCTTGATGAAGTGGCCATAATGCACCGGAAAATGTGAGCTTGAGTCACAGTGTTTAGCCAGCTGTCAGTCGTTTCTCTCCTGACACCTGACAGCTGAGTTCCTCCCCCATGTAAACAGCCTGTTTCTTTCCAGTGAGTGTTTGAGACAGCTGGGAGGGCTAGTGATACAGCAGTTCTGGATTCAGCACAATGAGCCCAAACACTAAGAGAACTCTGCTGAACAAGAGGCTGAGAGACTGGGAGGGCAGGGAGATGAACACATGAATGAAAGTAAAAATGTTGTTTTCATATTTTGGGGCGAGAAAGAAAAAATAAAAGGGCAATGATGTGCCCATTTTCATGCACAGCTCTTTTAACGCCAACCATCTCGCTATTTGAAAGGATCAAATACCACTGGTGAGCAACGCAAGCAGGAGATGGGTTACACGGCCGTTTTCTCAGACTGCAAAAGGCCAGAACAGAGGGGATCTCTGGACAGTGGGTGTCAAGGGGACAGATTTATGAGCTTCTCAATGTGTGAAAAGTTCCGTCAGACAGATTTGGAAAAACAGGCCATGCAAAAAACGTCTTCACACATCAGGTAGAGATAACGCAACACAGCTGTGCATCTGACGCACTTCAGCTCGCTCATCATACAAACGTAGTGACAAAGGTTAAAAGGTTTGAAAGGTTTAAAACACTTCAAGCATGCAGCTTGTGGTTTTATATTCCAATCACCAATATACTGTATTCAAAAGATCAAGACATATAGAATATGAGAAAAAAAAACCTGGGGCACCTTCAGCATGACTCTTCCAGCAACAGTTAGGTCCCGATCGAACCAGGTGCTCCATATGCCCCCTCCATAGCACTCAACCCCCACCTGCAGGCAGCCCTGGCTCGTCTTCTTAGAACGTGGCTTCACCTGGGCGTCACAAAACAGACAAGCCCTGACAATCAGCTAAAACAGAAGATGATACCTTGGAAAGCCTGAAGAGCAGAGAGGCGTTCTATTAAAGCTTTATCTCAAGAGGTGTACCGCGGCACACTGGTGTGTCTTCAGACATTAGGAGTTCTTGGCACAGTCCTGTGTCTTTAGACATTCCCAACCACAGTGCCTTGACACAGTGGTGTGTCTTTAGACACTCCTAAGCACAGTGCCTTGACACAGTGGTGTGTCTTTAGACACTCCTAAGCACAGTGCC